CCTCCTTCGTTTTTATTTACAGGCGCGGAGGAGGGGGCCGATCCGTAGGGCTGCCCGTTAAAACTCCCCGTTTTAGGTTTATTAAATTTATTGTTGTTTAACCTCCTTTTTATTTTTGTTCTACTCACGTCCCGCTTTGGGACGCGATATCTGGCCTTCAACAGGGCTATGCCCCCGGCTCGGCAGTTGGCAGACCATGCAGAGGCTTGCCTGACCAACCGAGGGGGTGGCTAGCCTTCAAAGGAAAGGGGGGTCCTAGGAGGAGGCTGTAGCGGCCCTTAGTGTGGGGCGGCCGCTAGACTTGGGCAAGCAGGGAGGGGGCTGATCAAACCTGCTCGTAGCTGGTCCCTCCGAAGTTCCCCTTATAGACTGGTGTGATGAGCGTCGTCCCATCACAAATGCAGCCGTGACGGAGAGCACAGGTAGGCCGCCGGGACCGGTGCCGCGCCGGGCTCGAGATAGCGGGCACAGCAGAGGGGCCAGAGCTGTCGAAACGATAAAGCTCGGGGTCACCGTGATTGTCGAGTGTCGCACGACAGAAAAGGTAAGGCAGGAAGTAACGGGGTGACAGGCGCTGAAGTAAAACGGAGATAGCGGGCGAGGCCGACAGGAGAGCGGACGGGCATACTGGTGGCACCAGGCACTGTCAGGCAAGGAGGAGCGAGCGGCCGGAGCAAGGTGCGAACGCATTGAAGTGCGAATGAACCTGGACGATATACCGCGCCAGGTGCACTTAGCCATAAGGAGGCAGAGATGGCGGGGCAGCGGGTTGGGCGCAGTCATAGGTAAGGTGCTCACTCGATTCTATACGGAATCGAATGAGTGGAGGATGGATGCGAGGGTTTTTGGTGTCTGCGAGATAGGATATGAAGTCAGATCTAGCTAAAGGTTAGTAGAAATGGAGTTAGAAAAGAAAGTGGCTGCGTGAAGTTATGGAGAAGAGAGAGTAGAGAAGAAGAGAAACATAGAACTCACCTGATTCTTATTGAAATCAGGTGAGAGAGGGTGCTACGTAGGGGTATCAGAGGAGCGGGTGCAGCGCTGGGCAGTAGCAGTGGCAGAGCGAGCAAGCGGAAGGCCGGGTGCTTTCGGAGGATGAAGTTGGGCGCATATGTGCGCCAGGTGCATGCACGGAGATGGTGGAAGAAAGGAAGTAGGAAGAACGAATAATTCACCCGATTCTTGATGGAATCGGGCGAAATAAAGGTAGAGGCCACGGTTTTTGGGTAGGGCGACCCCGATGGCGGTGTTAGTTTTAGAAGGGAGTTAGTGGTTAGGGAGCTGGAATGGAAGTAAGCTGCGCGGAGACTATGGTGGATGGCGGGAGTGGGGAACAAAAAAAGGGGATAACTCCCCCGTTGCTTGACAAAAACGGGCGGAGGAAGTTGCAAAATGGGGGGTTTCGGCATGGCGAAACCGATGGTAGTGTTAGTTTTAACAGAGAGTTAGTATAATAATGGGTTAGTAGAAAAATCAGTACGCTAAAGTTATGGCGGAGGTATGGAGGGAGAGGGAGAGAATGGTCATAGCCCGCTCGATTCCGAGCGGATTCGGAGGAGGGGAGAGTCGTTCCTGGGGTTTTGGCCCCGGGCGATTTCAATGATGGGGTTAGATAGGAGGATGAGTAAGTTAGTTTGAAGTGAGTAGCAAAATGGGGTGCGGTGGTTGGTCGAAGGAAGGAAAGGGGAGTGAATCTACCCGCGTCCTACCAGAAGATTCATTCCGACTTTGCTCATCCTATTGGTGGAAGTAGTGTGGGGTTTGACGCGATGTTGAGAGACTTACCTGGTACGTAGAGACGGGAGGTGGGGTTGTTGTTGCGCGACGCGATCCGCTTGCATGGGGTGATCGCGAATGACTCCCGCCAATTGGTCCGAGTGTTCCGACTCATCTCACCCTCACGGTTTCACTTCGGAGAAGCTGGCGCTGCTGGTACGGGCGGCTCACGAGCCAGCGGGCGAAATAATTCATACTCAGAAGGGGGATAGCGGGCGCACGAGAGCAGGGCAGAGGAAACGGGATTGGGCTAGTTGGAGGCATGAGGTCCGAGGCAGATGCAGCCATGCTGAGGTAGGAGTACGAACTTAGCCGCACCACTGGCTAGGTGCACTGCGAGTAAGGGCATAAAAGAGGATTACCTGCTAGTCGCATTGTTGCCCGTACCGTCGGTCGAAGGAGGAGAAGGAGTTCGGGCAGGAAGCATACTTACCTGCTTCGGGCGTCTACGGAGGAGGACGGGCCATGTGTCACAGCAGCAGGTTGTGTTACAAAGATTGAACCTTATTCACAGCAACAGACCGTGTTTAGGTAGTACTTACCACTAAGCTTTCTGGCTGTTGCTAAGGCTGCGAGTCTGAGGTGCCGCTTGTTACCGTGCATCTTGGCTGCTGCAACATCCTTCGCCTCTCTATTGCTGTCACAGTGTGCTCCGCTGTTCGCCTCAGTGGTGTTTCTGCTACAATGGTTGCGGAACTTACCGCGGATTGTTGTGCTGATGTTGGTACGACGGGGTTAACTGTTGTGTGTTGCTGCGTTCGCTGCGTTTTCACTGCACTTCGCTGCACAATTCGCTGTATACCTTTATACTTCGAAACAGTGCACACGGGTATACGCTGTTTGAGTACGGCTGTCTAGCGCTAAGTAACTACTGTCAGACCACGGGGGAAGACTGCTGCAGCAGAATGGTGGAGTAGTGGTGAAGGGGGTTATTGCTGCGAATTGGAAGGTCGTCAGAGGCAGCCAGCGACCGACAGTTGACTCTTGGATTGACCGGGCTGCTGCGCGTCTTGGCCACCATTGCGGGGCCCTCAGGCGAATCGAGATATCGAGGCCCTCTCGCGCGAGTCTGAGTGCACCTCCCTTGGATCTGAGAGTCTGAAACTTCCCCTCTATCCTTCCTACTCTAAGTCTTGTCTTGTTCTGAGAGGAAGGCGGCAGGCGGGATTGGAACCCGTAGGTCCGCGTCAAGACTCTGTGGGGAGTCCACCCACCGATTGCGGGAGCTCTGCCAGGACTCAGGAGGAGCTATGGAGGCAGGGAATCGTCAGGTAAACCATTTTCATCTATACAACCTACTTCCACCCATGTTTCTTTATCTCCCTGCAGTATGACTGCTGTATGCATGAGGCTGTCCCTATGGTTTTTCTTTCTCTTCAGGACCAAATCAGATTGAGTGGAAGGAATGTGTGAAAGCGAAGTTGAACTTTCTCTTTTGTTTTGACTAAAAGCAGACTAAGGTATGAATTGGAGGAAGGTGGGAGGAAGATAGTTTTGCATGCGTTTGGAAGGGTCAACCAAAGTCTGACCATTGTTTCTACTGTGAATGGCTCAAGGCTATGTTTATTTGGCTGTTTTCTGAAGGACCAGGCATGTTTCTACTGTGAATAGCCTGGTTGCTATGTTTATCTAGTTGTTTTCTGGAGGACCAGGCATTGTTTCTACAGTGAATGGTCTGTTTACTCTAGTTCACTTTGGAGGTTTGCCTAATCGAAGGGGTTTAAATTCTTGTTTTATTCTGAGGGAGGATTTCTGATCTAAGGCTGAGCATTGTTTCTACTGTGAATGGCTTAGCCTGAAAACCACGCACGTGAACTAAACTAAGTATAAAGGAAAGTACTTTATGTATATTTGCATGTGAACTAACAGCTGGACGTAGCTTTTACTGTGAATGGTCCAGCGCTAAGTCATATCATTGAGAAGAGAAAGGAGGAAATACAAAGTATAAATGAAAATAGTCTGGGCAAGCTGAACATTGTTTCTACTGTGAATGGTTCAGTCCCCTGCCCATATTTTTCTTTTCTTTTGAAAACAAAGTCAGAGAAATACTAAACTTTGGATATTAAACAGCTCAGGGCGACTAGGCATTGTTTCCATGGCGAATGGCCTAGTCATATGCCCAAAAAGAAGAGAGAAGTAGTTGTGCAACCTGTTCGTATATATCTTAAATACGAGCTGGGCATTGTTTCCACGGCGAATGGTCCAACTCTATGTTTTATGGAAGAGTCGAATAAGGGTTCAAGGACTTAAAAGATTCATAAACTATCTATATGGAATAAACTTGGGGCTAGTGAGAGTACTCACCTTTGTGGTTTGGCTTGCATGTGACTGAGTGAGGCCACTACTTAGTCTGAGTTTCAGGTTGGTAGGTAGTTGCTTTAGTCGCTCGCCACGTGCTAGAGTCATATGACTTAGTTTCAATTCTTGCATTTTCTAAGCTAAGTTTTCTTACTTAGATCAATTCTCGCATTTTCTCCGATCATTTTTTGTACTTGGCTTTGTACAAATCTGGGCAAGCTACTTTCTCTACGGG